TGATCAGGAAAAAAAGTAAAGCATAGCAATTAAATCCATCTTCCTGACTAAAAGGCTAGTCAAGTGACAGCTATCACTAAAACTGTCCTACGCAGATACTTCCATCTAATGCTGGTTTTCTTAAGACTTTGTCATTTACTAAAAAAATAAATCTACATGTATGGCCCAAAGACTTGGGCATGTCACTTCTCGCACTAATCTGCCATACCTGAGGTTAAGTGCATATGGTAACCTTTGCATCATATGTGTTAATACACAGAAAATATATATTCCAATTAATATTTGGCTTCCGTTGTATCTGTGTACACACTTATAAATTTATTTGTTCAATCTTTTTCTTATATTGAACCAGGGTAACTTTTGGTTGAGTATAAATGAAACAGTAAAGTTGTCTTTGTGTTGGACACTAGCCAGCATAGATTAATTTTATGGCTTAATATCACTGGGTATACCATGTTTATGATATTACAGCTGTTCCTACAACTGCCTCATCTTTTCGTAAATAAGATAATAATTTCCTGAGTTTAAAGTAACAGGTGACAAAGATACCAGAATCTAATTTGGCTAGAAATCAGCTTGCTAAAACAAGTGATATAATGAATGTGCAGTGGACTTTATTCATGTTGGTGCGCATGTGTGTGTTTAATCACCTTAAAAAATATGATTTTTGTGAGTAGAGAATAAAAGCAAAAGTTTTTGGTTAGGCTGCCGTTCTTTAGGCTTGGAAATGAGGTCAAAGAAGGTGTTAGGAAAGAAAAGAAATGAAGCTTCTCTGCCTCTTGAAATGTTCCATTCATCTTTTATTACTTGGTAGTAAGGAGGAATGGAAATCTGGAATTAATTGATTAGAAAGATTTAGATGAAGTATTTTGTCGATATGTAAATATCTTTTGGAGAGGGAGAGATCGTTTCAATTCTCCTTTCAAATGGGAGAATTGAGAGAGGCATTCTGTAAATCTCCAGGTAGTCAACAGCAAGAGAAGCAAACCCACAAATTCAATAATGCTTATCATTCCTCTTTATAAGTATTTTTCAGCTTAAACCTCTATTGGAGTATTTCTGAAGCCCAAATTTTCTTCTATTTGGTCTTACCCTATCTGCTACCATTAAGATCACACAGAAGATCACTCGTACACCAGCAGATCCTCTTCTTTTCATGGTCCCAAGAGGTCTTTCACCTACCTACGTCTGTATGCACAGGTGCTGGTAAATTCCTGCTGTTGTTTGCATGGCCGTTCCCAGAGCAGGACAGCTGCCAGGCAGGCGTTCATCTTCCACCTTTGGAACTGCGATGCATTTACATCGCCTGCACTTGATGTATGCTGCATCCCAAAATGTTCTGCATGGCTAGACCTATTTATAAGGCAGCATTAAACTTTGCAGAGTTATTTTGTCCTTCCAAAGGACGGTTACTGGCTTCAGAACATAGAGACAGAAGGATTCCCTCCCCATTTTCGCTCACGTTTTTACTTTCTGTTCTGATTTACAGTGGATTTTATTCACACTTCATTCATGCCAACACAATTTGTCTGTGTTGTTTAAAGAAGTTGGAGAAATAAAATTAAGAATGCTTTGCTTTAACAAGTATGAAAAAAAATTAAGATAATTTGCAAAGAAAACAGAGAAGATCAAGCAGGGTTTCTTGTAATTTGATCAACTTCAGTGGGAATTGTGAGTATTCAACTCTGGCCAACTTTCAGAAAAGGCAGGAGAAGTGACTCTGCTCACTTAATAAGCTTTGAATTGTGCTGTATGGATTTAACAGCAGTTGATGCATAGCTGCTTTACAGAATAGA